AATATGCCATCAATGTTTCCAAAGGGATGCAAAATACAAAATTTCAATTTGCATGGAAATCAAATGGAAGGCCTATTACCTAGATCCTTGGTGAATTGTAGCATGTTAGAGGTTCTAGACATTGGCAACAACAACATAAAGGACACATTTCCCTATTGGTTGGAATCACTTCCCAAGCTACAAGTGCTTATTCTAAGGTCAAACAAATTTCAAGGTTTTGTGCGCGACACCAAAGCAAATTCATCTTTCTCCAAGTTACGGGTTTTGGACCTATCTAACAATGATTTTTTTGGTCCTTTGCCTGTGCACTTCATTGAAAATCTCAAAGCTATGGTAAATCCTCTTGAAGATGACAACTCCGCACAATACATGGGGGGAAGTTTCTCATATGAATATTCAATAGTTGTGATATTGAAAGGATTGAGCATTGAATTGGAGAAAGTTTTGACTGTATTTACAAGCTTTGATCTCTCAAAAAACAAGTTTGCGAGAGAGATTCCAAAAGTTATTGGGAAGCTTAGTTCTCTTAAAGGACTTAATCTTTCCTATAACAACTTTAGTGGTCAGATTCCACATTCACTTCAGAACTTGACCAATCTCGAATGGTTGGACCTATCTTCCAATGAGCTGGTCGGGGAAATTCCACAGGAGTTGGTATCTTTGACATCACTCTCTGTTCTAAACCTTTCCAATAATCAACTTGTCGGATGTATACCACAAGGCAATCAATTCAACACCTTTGGAAACAGTTCGTATGAGGGAAACCTTAGATTATATGGATTTCCATTAACAAAATCTTGTGATGGAAATGGGCTGCCGCAACAACCACCAAGCTCCTTCCATGGAAAAGATCATGAGTTATGGGAATTTGGTTGGAGAGTTGTGCTTCTAGGGTATGGATGTGGATTTGTGTTTGGACTACTAATAGGGTATCTTACCTTCCATAATGGAGAACCAAAATGGTTTGTGACTTTGTTTAATGGCCAACAAAATCAAAGGGCGAGGAATGTGAGGAAAGCTCGAACACGTGCTCAAAGAAGAAATTAATTGCAAATTTGGTGACCAAGACCTCATTGTTTCCTAAATGTTCTTGTTTTAATTGAATTGTGTTTTTTATGACAGACATTATCTTTTCATCTTCTCTATGTACTTTTAATTCTCTTTGTTAAAACATATATTTAAAAGGTCAACTCAAAATAATTACTGTTCAATACAATAAACTTGAAATTTCTATAGTTTATTTCATTTAATAACACTATCAGACATGATAGAGTATAGAATCTTGGTGTGGCTTTAGCGTGGAATGAAGTGAATTTGGTTACATCTTGATCCTATATATAAGATCTGTATACCTCAATCTTTGGCCTTATTTCTATTACCTAATGATTACTAATTTTCTTCTTGGAAAGATAAAAGGTAACAAGTTCATAATTTAAATGAAGGAAAAGGTTAATAATAGCTGGTAGTACACTGTTAAAGTTTTTGAACTGAATAGAAAAAAAGCTAAAAAAAGTTAATACTATTTGGCAACACATAATTAATCTCCACAATTTTAATCTTATCGTTTCATAAGCTTTTTCAAGCAAAAGCTTTATCCATCGTAACCGTGTCCTGCTGCAAAATCAAAACAACGAAAGTGCTTGCCTTGCTCCAAACTTTGATGCGCACACAACTCATATTACAAGCCAACTAAAATTGGATATCCAAGTCTTTCACACACTGTAATATAGCTACTAAAGTAGCTATAAAATTGAATTATCACACATCATGTACAATGGGATTACAATCCCTCTTCCACCATATTATGTTGTAATGAAGGAGACCTCAAGAATACATTGTGCTACCCATGATTAAATCATTTCATAATGCTAGACTTAAATACAACTTGACCCTTGCCGAGAAAAGACCATTGCATTTTTGTCAATGAACAAAAGCTCTTCGTAGGGGAAAGGAATGGCTTTCCCTGTCAACAAGACCCTTGATTGAAGGTGTACAAGGACAGCTGTAGCGTGTCATCTTCAAACAAATCAAGCTAATATTGGCTCATATGGATATGATAACCATGGGTGCTTTAGAGCCTCAGATGCAGAAGGCCGTTCTTTGGGTTTATCTCAAGCGAATGAGCAACAAAATCAATAAAACCCCAATCTCCCATAGGCCAACGATGCCTTAAAGATGTCTTTTTTAGAATCAGGTGTTCCAGCTTGTAGGTTTCTTGAATAATACAAACAACATAAACCATTTAAATATAAGCATGGGAAATTATTTGATGAATATAAAATCAAATATCGAACAAGTAAATGAATCACAGATAATATAATAATAACTGCAGCCTTAAGAAAGTTATGTTAGAAAGGAGGAAAGGATGATAAAACATCTGGATAGGCTATATAGAACAGCATACACAATTCAGCAAAAGCGAAAAGACAGATGCTGAAGCTCAATGGACATGTGAAAAGCTTTGGTAGAGAAATAAGCCAACACTAGGACACTGAAACCAAAATACAATGATGTGATTATTTAGATGCTGTAGCATAATTAAATCCAATGTAATGTTCTACTACAATTACTTAATTACTAATAATAATGTAGTATCTTAGCTGGTAATCTGAATACTGTCATAACCAAGCTTATCCTAAGTTTACAACTTCTATACATCAACTGCCTTATGGACATAAAAGCAAATATAGTAAAAAAAAGATAGTTACCTGATTACGTTCATACAGCATGTGGTTTTTAGTGAAATATTTGTATGTATTGCGTCCTTTGGCAAGCATGTCTTGATCAATGGGACAAATGATTCCAATAACCCTTGCAAGTAATGTTGCTGGTGAATCATTTTGGAAAAGGACCTACACCAAAGTTTCATTGATACCAATTTGCAAGTTTCAAAGTGATCAGTTGCAATAGTTTCAAGTGATATAGATTGACATGAGATGCAAGAGTCTAGCTGAACTCTAGGCAACTCTAAATTCATACGTTAAAACTTACATTGCTGGTGCAAAGTTTGCCCAAGATGCAGCCAAATGACCAAATGTCTATCTTCTTATCATATGGAAGTCCCAGGATAACCTCTGGTGCACTATACGTCCTGGATTGAACATAGGAACACAGATGATTTGTCTCAAAACAGCTACTTCCAAAATCGACGACCTTGACCTCAAATCTACAGCAGATTTTCACTAGTATATTTCAGGCTTTAGATCACAATGTATAAGACCAAGACCTTCCAAGAACTGGAGTGCCTCCAAACATTGAATAGTAATTGATTGCATTGAACATTTTGAAGGAATATGAGAAAACAACAAGACATATCAATTAGGAGAACATTGGAAAAATGATACTACTATACCTGTAATCTTGGCACTGTGAAATAAACTTCACCCCCTGATTCTCTATTAAATTTATGAAACTCATAAGCTCGCCTTGAGAAGCTCATATACAATTAAAAAATGTTCCTGAAAAATAAAGGAATTACTTAAATCAGAACTTGTTATAAATTGACATGCACAGAAACACTTAAAATAATTGAATAGAAACCACCAGACACGAAAGGATCTACCACAGAACAATCTAAATAGCAATAAAGCATGGAAAGAAGTCAAATATCTGCCTCCACAAATTTATGTGCCATGGTAACATCAATTTATTCACTTACTCGGTTGTGAAAGTAATCATCTAGCTGGAGAATATGGTACTTTTCAGTAGGATCATGCTTGTTGACATACTTGAGAAGCTTTATCTTATTGAGACTTTGATAAAAAAGATCCTTCTTGTTCTTTATGATTTCAAGACAAACATGCATGCTTCTATGCAAGTGTTGTGCCTGCATGGCTTTGCTGAATTCTGTAGATATAAGATACTTGGTAACATGATAGCACCCTGCTGTGACAGGATTTAGAACAACATGGAAGTTCTTATCCTCTTCAAAGCCAGTCCTGAAGAAAGAGGTAAATTCATGTAAAGAAGTCTATTCAGAACAAGTATAAAGTTCTCGCAAATTGAAATCAGCTTTGACATTCTAATTAGGCAAGGGCATTTTAGAGCAAATGGCAGAGCATGGTAACTAGTATCATCTTATCTTATATAGAAATTTTTTTCTAGCAGAAGATCACATCTGTCTGAAATATTCAATAAACACTATGATTTTTTTTTTTTTTTGAAAAATATAAGAAAACATAAGTGTACATGTCAAGTTATAAACCCCTTCTGCATCAATTATTTTCTCAAAAGATAAAGAAAGGAAAAAAGAAAGTAAGAAAAAGATATAGGTTAAGAAAAGAACTCACAAAATATAAAGTCAAAACGAGAGATTCAGTAGAGATGTTTCGTAAGGAAAAAGTTACATTAAAGGGATGCCTGCTTTTCCTATGCACAACGTATAGGTTAATTATTTTACTAAAAAAAGCTGGATGATGTGTTTACATGTAAAAAAGAATGAAGCAGCCATCTATCTAAATGAGGTGATATTAATCACCTAAATTTGTATAAAGATCGACTGGAGTCGTAGATTTGATTAAGCATGGAGAAGCATCTGTATAAAAGACAATTATTACATATTTTAATTTTAAGGTATTTTTAATTAATTAATTATTTATTTATAAACAAAGAGAAATTTTGAAAAGAAAAATACAAATTATAATTGTCCCGATAGAAGTTTGAACCTTGACATGGGCCAAGGTCTTCGGTGTATGATGCCAGCCCACGTGTGTATACAAAGTTACAAACCAACTCACTTTAATTGGGAAGGCGCATCTGGCTCTCTTTCAATGATTAGAGCGTTAAATAAATAAATAAACAAACATAAGCTAAATCCAAATTAACTAAGAATGAAACCATGAAACTGCACAATCCTGATATAATCCAAACTAATAAAATGAATATCTAAATCCTGTGCCAATCTATATCAACAAAACAAAGTGAAAAACTGCATGCACACCCAAAGTGAAACCGTGAGAACAAATGTAAACTACATAAAAAAAAAAAAAAAAACCCCTTAAGTTGTCCTAGACTAGTACATTTTTACGAAGATCTGATATCAACTTCAAAGGCTTCCATATTGAATAACCACGTGAAAGCATGGAATCCAATATAATAAAATAAATATAAGATGATAATGATATGATCCTGATTTTAACAAATATATCAAATATGTAATCCTTAGAACCACAAAACTCTATGCAAATGAGAGCATATTTGACAGAACCGATATATATTCAAAGATGCGGGGATATAAGTAATAGAACATAACATGGCAGCTAAGTTATTTTTTGGTCTTATAACCTTAGAAACCACGAAACACATACGACCCCAGAATATGTCTCAAGAAATCTCGATATACTCAAATAGAAAGAAAAATTCATGACTAACAAATTGGCAAGAGCAAACTAAAATAAAACCAAATCAACAGCATCAAATGAAACGAGACATACTTGAGTTACATGGTGGTAACAGAAGATGTGGTTTCTGTGAGGAATAACCAGAATCCCAAACCACTGTTACACAAATTAATAAATTGAAAATCAAAGAGAAAGTACTTGGAAATAGATAAATATCAACTTTAATTTGCTATTTCAAAGATCAATTACAAAGCCTTCAATCTCTGTTGGGTCTCTCTTTTCTCCCCAAAACTCTCTCCTTTCTCAACTTTCTGAATTTTTTCTTCCCCCTCTAATTGGCAGAAGCCCTCTTTTATACACAAATGAAAAAGAACCCAAACCCTTCACTAATTCTAAGCTCTAATCCCTAAATTCAAATTGCAGATAAAAATCTAATCCTATTCATAATTGGAATCCTAAAATGAAACTAATTATTCACATATCTTTCCTCTTTAAAGGCCAGATTCATACCATTGTGGATTGGAATTCTGATTCCCAATCAAATTCGAACTCTTTTCGGCTTGCGGCTCCTCTCTGATTCCTTCGACTAACAAACTTTGAAAGTTTCTCCTTTTCTGCCATGATTCAACCAAACTCAGGTGGAATTTGTACAACCAATAGAGAGAGAAAATTGTGAAAGAAATCCGGTAATAATAGGATTGGGAAGCATCTGAACGGGAAAATTCCAAGCGGCTAGGTCTTTATTCAACTAGGCTCGAAATGACGTCGTTTCATAAATTCATCTTCTGCGCACGGATCCATTTAGTCCCTTGACTTCTTTTTCTTGTCAATTTAGTCCTGAAATTTACAATTTCAAAGTCTTAGCTCCTCGCAACAAAGTCCAAGTTACTTTATTTTACAATTAATTTCCATTTTGTTATTGAAGCCCTAAAATTGAATTTATATGAAATTAATTTTGATTGAGGCATTAGGAAAAATTTTTAAATGAATATCCAATTAAAATCAAGTTATGAGAGATTGTACATTAAAGTTGATGTTAATAATAATTTATAAGGCAAGCTTGTTTTTCCCATGCACAATCTTGAGGTTGAAAGTCTCAAATTCCTCCTCTTGAGCCTTAATTTGTTGTACTTGCTCTTGGACAATAACTACTTCTTCATCCTTTAGTTATGCCTTAGGATCTTCTCATCTCACTCCACTAATTCTTTCATCTTCTTTCTTAGCATGCTCCCGTTCACCATAACCATAATTAGAGAATGATGAGAAAGAAGAATTTGCAAATTTTAGAGCATTGGCATTATTTTCATCTCTATAGCTTTTGCTAGTTGAAGAATCACTACTTTTTCGACTCAATATGGCAAGCACATTATTAGACCCCATCAAAGCATTCAAAGAATTATCATTTTCATCACTAACAGCATTGTAGTTGTTTGACCATAAAGACTTACGAGAACTTGCCTGCAACAATTGCCCAAACTTATTGAAAGTTTGCTTGGGTATTTGCATCTCTGTTATTTCCAACTATATATTTACTGGAATCATGTTTATTGATTTCCTTTTTATCCCTAGATCTGCCAATAAGTTTTACATCTATGTTATGAGAATTTTTTTTGGACCTAATAATGGCAACATCTTGATCACAGAAGTACTCTAAATCACCTTGACTATTGTCTCCAACCAAACTTTCAAGTACTTCACTTCCAATATCAACAGCATCATTGTTGATTCCCACACCAATTGATCAAATTGAGTCATGCTGATCATCATCAAAACAAACATCATCCAACTAAGATCTCTTCTACTCATTTCCAAACTTTACCATCACCTACCATGATTAGTTCATTTGTTTGAGTGACAAAGCCCACCACACAGGTTCAACACACATCAAATTAACCTCTTTTTCATCCATTAGTTGTCCTTATCCATCATATTGAGCAATTAAAGCATTTTCATGACCTCTTCTACACATTTCAAGCATTGAGAGGCCTATGGAATGATCCAAAGTTGTAATTGGTTCAACTATTTTTCGTTGAAAACACTACTCACCAAAGAAGTAAGAATCTTCCTTAATACCTGGCTCAAAAGTTAAAAAATCTCTTATCAATTTCTCTTAAGATCATTATTGGTGCGTGCTTTTCAATTCTTAGTTACTCGACTCATGTACTAAATGATTTTTTGCATATATAGATATAATTTAATGCTAATTGTCAATAATAAAAATGGAAAATTAATGTTTATGATGAGCTCTTTGTGTCACACCCTATACCTTTACTCCCTAAAAACTTAAAGGTATAGAGTTGTGATCTCAAAATAGTAGAATCCATGCGTGCATTATGGTTGTAAGCTATGATTTAAAAAATCACTTGACATGTTTAGTCAAATAAAAGCAAACTTAGTAGTTTTGTTAGGATTCAGTCATAAGTTTTAGAATACTAAGTCTAGTAATTCTCAAAGCATTGAACTTAGCATTTACATAACAAATAAGCATCCTAAGCATGATATAGCAAAATTAAGCATAACATATGCATTTACCTTAAACACTTAGCATGTACATCTAATTACTAATGGAATTGGATAGTACATAAGCATCTACACCACATTCTAGCATGCTAAACATTTCATAACATAACTAGCATAACCAAAGTTAAATGGAACAAATATCATAACAAAGTCAACAACAGCCTATGTAAGGAGTACCAAAAATGTGCATGTACTTGCAATATTAATGTTCAAGCTAGTCTTAACTTATCCCTACTATGTAGAGGTCATTAAATTCGCCATAGGAGACTCACTTAATACCAAAAAAAAAAAGGTTGAGTGAATCCTTAAACCATAGGTTTAGATCCAAATTCTCCATAGCTTTATATGCACATAGCACAGGGTTCAAATTCTCCACAACATGTTTTTTCTTAATTTCTTATTCATAAATAGTTAGGGATTAACATATTAGTGCTCATACAATTTTTGTAGTCATTAATCTTTGCTATAACCCATGTATTAGAACGAATTCAACACATTACATGGTAAACAAACAGAATAATTAGACTAAGTATTGCATCGTTTGCATAATAATGTTTCAATAGATTAATTCACATACTTCATAATTAGAATTAAGCATAACATATACATTTACCTTAAATATTTAGTACACAGACCTAATCCACAATAGAATTGGATAATGCATAAGTATTTGCACCACATTCATAGCACACTACACGTTTCATAACATAACTAGCATAACCAAAGTTAAAATGAAGCATACATTATAACAAAGTCAATAATAAGCTATATATGGAGTACCAAAAATGTGCATGTACTCACAATATAATTGTTGGAGCTATTTTTAGCATATCCCTATCATGCAAAGGTTATTAAATCCCTCATAGAAAACTTTCTTAATACCCTAAAAAGGATTGAGTGAATCTCTAATCCATAAGGTTAGATCCTAATTCTCCATAGCACAGGGTATGTACCCAACTTAGCACTTGGTCGCACAACATGTTAATTCTTAACTTCTTATTCATAAACAATCATATATTAACATATCAGTTTGATACAATTCTTTATTATCATTAATCTCCTTTATAACCCATGTATGGGAAGAAACACAGTAGATTACAAAGTAGCCACTAATCAAATTGAATAAGTAGACTAAGATATTACACCATTTGCATAATCATGCTTCAATAGTTCAATTCACATACTTCACAGAAGACATAACCAACATCAATAGCTCCAACATCCTAAAAACACATACACTATCACCAATGTGGTGTAGAAAACCATACCTTGTTTGTAGTGATCTTAATCCATTACATGTTGATTTCTTTGTTTCTAGCATGTGAACATGTTCTTCATATTTCTTAATTAGTTTAAAATAAAAAACTCTAACCCACACTTACCCTATATGCCTCTAAGTTACTAAGCTTAGACTTGAGAGATTTTCTTGTTGTTCTTCTCCTTTTGTTGCTCGGCTAAAAGTAAGAAAACAAATTCAAAAAAGGACTAAAAGCCTAATGCAATTCACATGTTAAAGTTGACTTAAGTTAGTGGAGTTTAATAAGTTTGTGGAGTTTAATAAGTTTTCACTTTCCTAAATTCTAGCATACCAAGTGTAATTAGCATTGCTAAAGGTCTAGATTCATTATGGAAGTTTAGGACAGTTGCCATGTGCAAGCACCAACTTTCTGATTCTTCTAATTAAGTTCCTAAGTTAATTGTTAGTTAAAGACACCGGGTTTTGTTGTGTTCAATAAAGAACAAGGTTGTTACATTTTGAGTTTCGTGGGCTTTTTAACCTTAGCCAGAAAATGTCAATATCTAATAATAACATAGGTCATAACCATGATAGTTATTATCTAACCTATAATTAGCAGTGTAAAAGATGTCTGGAATTCAAGCCATATGGGGTTGAGTCATGGTTTGAGCTTAGAAAGACCTTTTTTACATTTTAGGGAATTTTTTTTTGTGGTCAAGTAGCTTAATTGTTATTAATTTTACTTCTAATTGGGGTCAAATAGCTTATTTATTATTATTTTTAATTGTAATAGCCCTCTAGCTCTGGATATGACCCAACATGATTTTTAATACTAAAATATACTTTAGTCATGCATGGATTTATATGGCTTTGTGGAATCAAGGGGCCTTGTCAAATTTAATTATAATTAGAATAAAATACACTTAAGGCTACTTTATTTAGTTTACATGATATATGTTTGTAAGAAAAATGTTGATTAGTATACTTTTAATGTAGAAAAAGATGGTTATAAATATATGTTGAAAAGTCTTGAGCTGAATGACATGTTACTTTTGAGATTAAAGTTTTATGTGCATATATTAAGAGTTTTGCATGTGTGTATTAAGAGTTAAATCTTTTGAAACTCATCTTCAGATTAGGACAAACAACAAATTGTGAGGAACTTGAATTTGGAACTTTGAAGGAGCTAGAGAATAATAGTAGGTTTACTTTGTGAGTGGATCATAATTTCATTTTATTTAAATTATTGAATCATTTATCATGTAAAATTACATAATGTTTATTTTTTAAAATTTAATGTCTGAATGAAATATTAAAAACATTGGCTTGAAGGGTTTGATGCCTATTGTGAACATTATGATGATTCCAAGCCTTTAAAGTTGTTGATCTCACAAAGGAGGATAAATATTTTGGGTGTTTAAAAGCAAGAATTCTTCTAATGTACTTTTGAATAAGTAAATCTTCATAGCAAGCAATATTTTTCTTTTGGTAACGGTATGAGATGGACAATTTCCAATAGCACAAACTAGAATAATTTGAGGAATTTGTGATTGCCACTTTAAACCAAACTTTATTTGTGCAATTGTTTATTGGGATAAAGATTTTGGACATCATAAGCTTTTGTCATAATTGTGAAGAAAAATAGAAAATTTAGAAAAAAAAGCATACCTAGTCTCCGATCTTGTTCAATCATGGACCAATAGTATACATGTAAATAGAAGTGGTAGATACATGACATACTTTTGTGGATATTGGGCTTGGATGTCATGTGGTCCAAAGCTTTGAACTTCATCTCATTGAGGGAGGAAAAGTTAGAAAGGCAAGTAGTGGGGAGGGCCTCAGAGGGGTACACACAACTAATTACATTAATTAAAGCCCAAATTAAGATGGTATGTTAAGGAATTCGATAATCGCTTGAGATTAGTAAGAGAGATTTGCATAAGGGTGCATTTTTTAGAGTTAGGGAATGCTCTAGTGATTACTAAATTGAGTGCAAGTTTTGAGCTTAGTTAAATTGAGTTTGAATCTTGACATGTTTCGAAAGGGTTTGATAACTGAGAGAGTTATCCAACGTTGTAGGGTTCATTATGCACCAAAAATAACGAGTGCATTTCTTAGTATGTATATATTGAATGTGTAATTTATTCTATTTTGTTCCTTTTTTAATTTGTGACCTTCTTGGAGAATTAATTGTTTGTTACATTTTTGTTGTAAAATCTTTTTCATTGCAGCTTCATGACATATACTATTTGAAAAAAAATATATATATATATAATATGATTCGATTGATAGAAAAGAGTCTTTATTGGGAGGTCTTGAAGAAATTTCAAAGCAAGAATTGATATTACTTCTAATAATCAATTTTCAAATGAATGACCTTATTCACATTTCTCTGTAGTTTATCTTTATCTTCTTCTTTTTTTTTTTTTTTAAATTTCATTGAGGGGTAAGAAGGTGAAGATGAAAAACTCATGTAGTAATTTCTTCTAGTTGATCTTGATCTATAGGATTATAAACATAGAAGTAACTTGAATTTTGTAGATTCTAAAGACTAATAAGGATAATAAGGATATGGTTGGTTTGAGGAAAGAGAAGGAAAGGGATGAATTTTTTGTCCAATCAAATGGTAACATTAAAATGTCATAATTTGATTAGTTCAAAAGCTCATCTCTTCCCTCCAATCTATTTTCCTATATTTCCTTTAAACCAAACATGCTTGAAAAGAGGTTTATCAATCATAGTCTCTTTAATTTCTTCTACTATCTTCTACTATGAAGATGTTTGTCTTTTAGCCTAAAGACATTTTAGAATTGTTTTATCTTTATTTCTTAATTTTCCAATCAAGGTATCATTTATCACAAAGTTTGTGACTAAAAGGAATGCCAAATTTTTCTAGTAGTAAGGACTATGCAATTAGTTGACTGCTAATAAAGACAAGTCTAGAAAAGAAATTCTAATACTAGAAATAAGTAGCTAGCTAATTTAAAAAATATAGTTGGATTGGAATCTCAAATTCTTTCCTCTTTAACCAAACATACTCTAAAATGAGTTTATCTATCGCGGGCTCTTTAATTTCTTCCATTAAGAAGACTTTTGTCTTTTAGCATAAAGACACTTTAGTATTCTCTTATCTTTATTTCTTAATTTTCCACTCCAAGTGTCATTCATCACAAAGTTTGTGACTGAAAGGAATGCCAAATTTTTCTAGCAGTAAGGATTACAGAGTTGGTTGATTGTTGATAAATAAAAGTCTAGAAAATAAATTTAAATGCTAGAAATAAGTAGTTAGCTAATTTAAAGAATATAGTTAGAATGGAATCTCAAATCCTTTCCTCTTTAACCAAACATACTCTAAAATGGGTTTATCTATTGTAGTCTCTTTAATTTCTTCCATTAA